TCAAGCTAAAGGGGGCAGAGGAGGTTGTAGATCCGCGATTTACAACCTAGGAGCATCAGTTGGAGGTATCAATTCGGACCCCTTTTCTTCCCTAATTGTGTAGATCTTCCTTTTGAGGATTAGGGCTTGTATTATCTTCTTGGTGGGGTTTTGATTGCATCAAACCCCTCTTGTGAGCTGGTAGCATAGATCTGGACCTTGTAAGGTCCAGAAAGTCAGAAAGTAGAAAGCCATTGTTGTGCAACCATGGGGTTTGGAGGTTAGGAAGCTTTAATGGAGTCTAAATGGCATATTGAGCGAAATATGCCATGCATGGACATCAAGATCGGACCTTTACGTGACTTTTGGGTGCTAGAATGCCAGATCTATAAGTTAGAGAAACAGATCTGACCTCAGAAGGTCAAATGAGTGTTGCCATGGAGGAAACTCGCCGAGTCCATAAGAGGACTCGACGAGTCGGATCGTGTTGCCCCGCGATTCGTGATCAGTGGAAACCCGTCGAGTGAGAGGTGTTGGATTAATGTCTAAGTCCATAACTATAATTGGTAAGACTTGACCCGACCCGGCATGGTCAATTTGGGTTGCATGGCATCATGCATTTGGATAGACTATAATGAGAGAAATAACACTTAAGGTTGGTTAATATATTATAAGTTCTAATATATTAATAAGGTTATTTAATTAGTATTGATCAAGAATTAATTTGGAATTAATTAAGTGATCAAAAGGAGACTAATTAAATATATGGGTTGATTGTGTAAATCATTCATTCTTATATATGTGGGCTTGTGATCCAAGATTCCTTATGTTGGACTAAGTCCATGGGGTGACCCATGGATACTCCATGGAGGTTAAAATCCATGGAGCATAAGGAATGGGTAAAGTTATGAGTTACATGGTGTAACCCTAATAGCCACCATATAAAAGAATCCCATGGCTCAAGAAATCGTGCACTAATGTGTGAGTGTGAGGGCTAGACGATTTCAAGGAGTGTTCAAGTTTCTCTCAAGTTATTCCAAGTGTATTTGGTGTTGTGTGAACCATTTGAGGTGTCACACTTGGGGCACTAGGCACTCAAGCTTCATGAAGACATTCTACATCAAAGAGGTATGTATTCTATCTTGTTATATTTATTATTTTGTATGCTAGATTAGGATAATACCTTGGATGTTCATAATTTGTATGTATAATAGAGAAAACATAGATCCAAGGTATTTAGGGTTGCATGTACACTTAGGAGTGTTAGAATGCTCATAACCCAACAAGAGGTTAACTCGACGAGTCGAGTGGGGCCTTAGGAGGAGTCTGAGGACACGCATGGACTCGCCGAGTCACCTGAGTGCACTCGGCGAGTCTGGTCAAAGTTAGACCGTTGACTGGAGTTGATTTCAGTTGACCTTAGGGTTTGGTCAAACCGATTCAAGAGAGGCTATGGAGGGGTAGAATGGTCTTCTACCCATTCTTTAGAGATGAGGAAATAAAGAGAGTATTGATTAGAGATATTATCATTTTGATAGGCGGATGCTAGATCGGGGATAACGAGCACGAGAGTTTACTATACATCATCGAGGTAATTCTTCTCACTATACAATACCTAGAGTGGTAACTATGTGCAGACCGGAGGGTCTTATGTGTTATGTGTATGTATGAGTTTATGTGCATTGTGATATATGTATGCTCTGTATAGACCGGACTGGAGGGTCCTACGATTTAGACCGGACCAGAGGGTCCAACGATTTAGACCGGACCAGAGGGTCCAACGAGCTAGACCGGACTGGAGGGTCCAACGAGCTACGGGACTGGAGGGTCCCCCTGAGACACATTGACCGGAGGGTCATACCGAGTTATAGCCTCGAGTGGCTTATGTGCTGTGGTATTTTGAGGAACTCACTAAGCATTTATGCTTACCGTGTTATGTGATATGTGTTTCAGGTACCAGCGAGGGTCGCGGGAAGGCGCCGACATGATTTGTACACACTGACAGAAGATTAGGTGTTGAGATTCTGGGATATGTTTTATTGTGATGACATTGATACATGAGATTTTGAGAATATTATATGAGTTTTATTATGTTTGAAAAATGAAAAATTATTTTAAAATTTACGTCGTTACATAATATTATTTGCTGAAATAGTTGCATTAAAAATGATTTTAATATGCGGTTATTGTCGCAAATAAAAATGTATACGTTGGTACTTAGTGAACTGCATTTAGTGTTGTATGGTGTAACAATTTCATTCGGATAATCCAATTCAAATATGCATGTCATGTATATACTTTGTGAAGGTAAGGAGTATTGATTCATTCTTTGTAAAAAAAAATTAACTCACAAATATCTTGTTGGTAATTAATTTCTTATTTAGCAAATAGATATTGTTACAATTTCATTCAATGTTGATTCTAAACAATTTTTCTTTTTAAATTGCATTCTTTAAAATTGAAACTCGCTGAAATTATTTTTTTATGAAAATTAAAATCATTTGAGATTTTTTTGTGAGTGATCGTATTTTAGAATAATGGTTAAGGGGGTTGCCCGAGCTGAAGGGTGGTGGTTGCCGGAATTGAACGTTAGTGATGTCGGTGATGAACTGTGTTGGTGTGGGACCAACCACGAAAGAAATTGAAATCATAAGGACCATTTGTGTAATTTATAATAATTGGTTAACGGAGAATATGTTAAAAACTAATGAAGGTGGCTTAATAGACATGTAAGTTGTAAATTTAATGAGCTATTGTGCAAAAAAAAAAAATACTTCACTGACCAAATCGGATAAATGATGATAGTTGATTGGGCTATAGTGACATTTACCCTTTTTTTTACCAATGGATACATCAACGGTAAAAAAAAAAAGAATAACCAATCAACTCGTCCGTCTTCTTCCGTCTCCAGCCTCACGTCACACCCAACCCACCGAAGGTGGGGACGGTGTTCATGCGTGAAGGGGGCTGACACGTCAGCTCCCACACGTCTTAAACCATGCAACTCTGGGTAGCCTTAAGACGTTAACCACATGTGAAATGACCGGTTTACGTGTTCTTTTGACTTTTGTTGTTGTATCCTTTTTTTTTCAATTTATAATCATTTTTAATAATTAAGGGGCCACTAACGACCACCGGTTTTGTCAAATCCCATCAATATTCAACGCTGCCACTTTCTCTATTGAACGCTACCACAAAATTAAAATCGAATCAATAATGAGCAAAATTCAAGACAAAACAAAACATACCTTCATAACAATAAATAAATTAATTCCAATAGCCAATCTACAATCATTTAATGAATGAGGTCGAAATTTTTTTTGGTGGGCAGAACCAAGACTCATTTTAGCAATGAGCTTACTTTGATTGCTTATTTAGCTACTTTAGGTTGTTGTAGTCCGTTAATAAGAATAAACTTTATCAAAGCTTGCATTCAATGTTGTTTTAGTCAATTTCTTTCACGCAAGAAATTCTAAAAAGAAGCTTCCTTCACGGGAATGGCAAGTGAGGGGTTTTTTTTTTTTTTTTTTCTCATATGTAAATGGGACGGTAGTATTTTTACAAAGGGATAATAACTTGTAAGGGTAATTAATTTTAGATTTTGTACATACTTATCTAATATTTTGAATTGTTCAAAAAATATCAATTATGACCGGATATAGTGGGTTTTGCCAATTTCCGACCTTTTTCTGGCCAAACATGAGTTTCCCAGATAGGCATGAATTTTGTGGTCATCTTCTCCAACCAAACATTATTTCTACTTCTAATTTTGAAAAACTTAGGTTGCGTTTAGTTACGGAAAAACAATTTTCATTTTCCGTTTTTCGTTTTCCCTTTTCAGTTTTCGTTTTTCGTTTTCAGTTTTCAGTGGAAAATTTAGAAAACGTGTTTAGTTAAAACTTTTTTATTTTTCATATTCAGTTTTAGAAAATTAGAAAACGCGTTTAGATGTGTATATTTCTATCGGTTTTCATTTTCAGAAAACGGTAGCGGTAGTAGGGTGGGGGTGGGGGTGGGGGCATCGGCGGTGGGCAGTGGTGGTATCAATGATGACGACGATGGTGGTGTGGTGGGTTGGGGGTGTCGTGTGTGTGTGTGTGTTTGTGGGAGTAGGCTTGGGAGTGGGTGGGTGTGGGTAGGTAAGGGTGTGGTGGGTTGGGGTGTTAAGGTGATGGTAGGTAGAGGTGGGAGTGAATGTTTGTTTATATTTTAGAAAAAATTTAGAATTAAAAAAATGTGGAAAACAATAACTATTGGTTTTCCAAAAATTTTCAATTTCTTTGTAATTTTAGAAAACGGAAAATTTTCATTTTCCGTGAAAAATTTAGAAAAATAGACGAACTAAACGCGTTTTCAAAATTCTCATTTTTTTTGGAAAATTTTTCCAGAAAACGTCCCATTTTTCCGCAACTAAACGCAACCTTAGGGTTTGATTTCAACAACCAATTCCAGAAACACGATTCCAATATACCTTAAATCTGAATAATTGATTTATGAATATATGGTTTGATTTCAGAGAAGACGATTTAGGATTCAATTTCGGCTAGGGTTTGTTCAATGAACTAATGGCCAAAGAAGACAACTTAGGGTTCGATTTTGGCTAGGCTTTGTCTGGGGAATTTTCCGCAATGGGCGAAAGCCTGACGGAGCAATGCCGCGTGGAGGTAGAAGGCCCACGGGTCATGAACTTCTTTTCCCGGAGAAGAAGCAATGACGGTATCTGGGGAATAAGCATCGGCTAACTCTGTGCCAGCAGCCGCGGTAATACAGAGGATGCAAGCGTTATCCGGAATGATTGGGCGTAAAGCGATGGCCAAAGAAGACGATTTAGGTTTTGTTTGATGAACTGAATATCAGAACTCCAAATCGAAAATCGGAACCTTAAATTTATTTTTGTGTGTTCTTTAACCTGAATCGAATCTGGAAGAAATCGAATCTTTGAATTGATTTTTGTGTCTTCTTCACCCACTCTAAGTCTTCTCTAACAAAATCCTTGAGCATCATTTGGTGTTTCATAATCTTCAGGGGGTCAATGCACATAATACCTATCAAAATATGAAGGAAAAACAAATAATGATTTTTTCAATAGAAGAAAATCAAGTTTCAACCAAAGGCAAATAGATAAAGTGGTCAAACGACTGTCATGATTTTTTCAATAGAAGAAAAGATTATATACCAAATAACTATTCAATCATAATCGTACAATTTTACTAAAATAATTAACGTGCAGGGTCAATTTTGTCACATATTCTTTACAAACTTAGGGAGCACACTATAAGTCACCCTACGGCTTTCGTTTATAAAAAATCCAAGCCATTGTCTTCATGAACATCATCGTGTGTTTGAGAAGCTCAGAAAGTTCTTCTCTTTCAGGCTCACAACAGTGTCCTTGATGCTTACCTCAAGCGGAGTAAAATCAACACCTAAACTTTCCGCCTTTGCCCTCGATACAGTGTAAGGTACTGGCTCACCACAATATCCATCTTTATACCTATAAAAATTTAAAATAACAAGACAATTAATGGCTCTAAATAGATTGTTTATATATGTATATTCATGCGATTAACCAGATACTTACCTTTCAGAATGGCCAAGAACAGGGTAATGTTTATTTAAAATCTTCATGATCTCATAAGAGCGAGTCACAACCCCAACCACACAGTACCTACCATTTGCTTGGGGGTTCTCAAATGCTAAAATATGAGCATTAGCAACATCTCTCACATCAACAAGTCTATAAATTCCATCTGGAAATATTTCCTTTCCTACATATTATAAAGATTTGAGCATGCAATATGTTCAATAAATTAATTATACAGATCCGATGAATCGATTTTTAGTTGTAGGAGACAATTACCAGTTACAATCAATCCCATAACCCACTCAGAAGTGGTGTTGAGAGTTGGCTGTAAGAGAGGACCAATGACAAACCCAGGATTTATAACCACCAAATCCAAACCTTTCTCTTTACAAAATGTCACACCAGCATCCTCACCCAGGGTCTTCGAAAGCGGATACCATAACTGTAAATTACAGGCTTTTTGATTAATTAATAACAAAATCAAAGTTTTAACACAATTATATATATATATATATATATATATATATATATATATATATATATATATATATATATATATACATCCCTACCTTTTTCTGTTCACAAGTTTTTGGATCTGAAAACCATGTTTCATCCACCACAGCACCAAACTCCCGAGGTTCTACACGAAACATAACCGCAGTCATGGAAGATGTCAAAACCACTCTTTTGAGAGATGAAACTTTTGCAGCTGATTTAAGAACATTAAGTGTTCCCTTCACTGCAGGATCTAGGAATTGTGCCTTTGGGTCAGAAACTGAAACTGAAGGTATAACAGGAGATGCCATATGAAAGACACATTCGCAGCCATTAACTGCGGACTCGAAAGATCCTTCTTCAGTCAAGTTAGCTTCAAACAAAGACAGCCTTTCCTTAGCTCCATCAAGGGCAAGTAGGTGTTGTGTCTTCTTTGGATCATCTGCACCATATATGAATTAAAGGAACTGGTAGCGATTAGAGGAAAACAAAAAGAAATCTCGAGGATGAAAAAAAGTCAACCAGTTGAGTTTTTCTTTTGCAGCATATTTTGTTATTGATGAACAATCTGTGATTAATTACTTACACAATCAACCTATTACTGATGTTGAATCGAACTCAGAGATGAAAAGTCAAAATTAGAAAGAAGGCCGGAGAGGCTGACCGAGGGAGCGGACGGTAGCATGAACGGTATAGCGACGCTGAAGCAAGAGTTTAACGAGCCATGAAGCTATGAATCCCGAAGCTCCTGTAACACAGACTACCTTCCCTTCTCCGGTCATTTCTCTGAAATCAAGGAGGCCTGAGGGAGTTGGATCAGTGCCCATCATTGACCCATTGGCCCAGTATGTATAATTATATTATATATATATACATTTAAATATGCGTTGTGCTAATGAACAGTGCCAAGTATTGAGCAGGGTGGTTTCTGGCTTGGCTTACTACGGTTGATTTCGGGTGCTTAGCGGTTGGTTTGGAGCCAATTAGCCGGATTTGCTTCTAGACACCGCCTATCGTCTTCCACTTGATTTCTTCCACATATCGTTGTGCTTCCCACCGTTTTCCTCTTATCTCCATCTCTTCCCAAATTTGATTCATAGTTGGACAAAAACAGTGACATCGACAGCATTGGAGAAGGATAGGCCGCCTCTACCCTTTACGCCTTGTTCCCGATTTTTTTTTTTTGTTTTTTTTTTTTTTTTTTGTTTCTTCAGGCGGAAAGCGAGGGGAAGGAAAAGATTTTAGAGTCATATTTTCCTTCCAAATTGGATGGATTTTAGAAAAAAAACGAGGGGAAAGAAAATTTTTAAGTTTTATTTTCTTTTTACTCCTAACTCGGGAACATAAAAACTTAAAATTTCTTTTAATTTCTTTCGAACTCGGGAACACGGAATAAAGAAAATTTTCCTTCCCCTCCCTTTTTTATGTCAATATTTTCCTTCCCTTTCCTTTACGCCTTGTTCCCGAGTTTGTTTTTTTTTTTTTTTTTTTTTTTTTTTTTTTTTTGTAAATTCAATAAAAGAAAGGGAAGGAAAATATTTACAAAACAAAGGAACTCAAAGGATTTATTCATTCTTTTTCTCCTTTGAAAATCATATAATCCCTACATGCCATCAAACGAAACCTGTACTTTGGGTTCTAGAAATTCAAATAATCGACACAGATCGGAGGTGGTGAGACCGGCGGCAAAAGTGGTTGAACCCGCCAGAACGGTGGTTGAATGTTCGATTTTTCATTTTTCATTATCTGATCCCAAATTTCTTTTCTTTTTTTATTTTGGAATCTACAGATGATGTCCACCGCCTCTCTCTCCGATCGTCAAACCATTTACCTTATTATGTGTCAAGCGCACACACCCCCTGTCATTTTCTCCAAACTTTCGCTCAAATTCTCGCCACCGCCATCACAGGAAACACTTCGATTAGGGTTTTCTCTAGGTTTGTTTTCTTTTTAGTTTGTTCAAAATTTTGTTTCTTAAGTTGATTTCGTTTATTGGCTATGATATCAGACAACTCTATTTCATTCTCTATTTCAATGAGTGATTTGCATGTTTGAGGTTTCTTCTTATAGATGCTCTACAGGTCTTTGGGATGAAACAAAGAATATGATGGTAATTGGAATATGTTCATGGGTATTCAAAATTGGTTTGAATTTGAATGAAATCATTATACTAAGTAGAATTTTGAAAGTATAATGGAGGTATTGAACTTTCTAGGTGTTACTACATGATCCTTAACTTTCTACAAACATTATAAATCTCCACAGAATATGAAAAGGCTTAGAACATTATATACTTCATCAATTGGATGTCTATCTGACGACTGCATGTCATGATGTACCTAAAGTGTGATGGTTATGACACTGGGGAAGAAAATCACCAATGGCTTTATCGGTATCAAAAACTCACGATTTAACTTGAATCTACAAAAAAAAAATCTACTTTTATGAGTTTTAGATAATAGTTTCAGTTTATATATGTATTTCTCAAGTTTATATGCAAAAAATGATGTTTTCAACTATAACATCCTAAAAACCTAAGTTAAAATTTTCATTTTAAAAATAATATGACATCCATTTTCAATAAAGTTACATTCAGGATAAATCATTTGTTCATAAACCATTATTCAGAAATCAGAGTTGTAATGAAGACAGTACAAAATCTCGAATCGTAAAGCTGCTAATGTGTGTGTACAGTCATGCCTTCATAATCTTATAAGTACCTGGAAAATATTTAATCTACAACTGTAAGCACAAAGCTTAGTGAGTTCCCCAAATAACTCATACAACACAACATATAACAACAACATTGGAACTATAAGCAGTTTCGAATATCACATACAACACACAATATAACAGCTATGGGTTCTCAGCAACCCTAGGAACTATCAGCAGTCCCAGTGGGCTAACATCATGTCATGTTGATTAACAACACACCTCACGGGTTATCAGCAACCCTGGGGACTACCAGCATTCCCATGGACTTACAACATCCCAAGAGTTTTCAGCAACTCAGTTCACATATAATAGCTATCAGCAATTAAGATCCAGCCGGTCAACATTCACATACTACCACACATGTAAGTATAGTGAGAGGACTCACCTTGCGAATAACAGTCATGAATACGTTAGCTCTCACACACAGGATAGACAGGAGCAACAAGACACCTAACAACAGTAAAGAGTACCCACTCAGTCTACACTCCAAAACCCTTAGTTTGACCAAAAGTCAACCATGGTCAACTTCAGTCAATGGTCACGTCGTGACCACCCATAAGTCATGTCATGACCGAACCTGGAAAACAATCGTGAAAAACAGTCTCACGACGCGACATGCTATTCCTCAGGTCGTGAGATCCATTCTGGACAGCTTTTAACATTAAGCTCTTAATCCCTTAAGCCATTCCTTGAGACTTTCCAACCCTAAGGACTATAAAAATCATAGCATTTTAGTCATGCGTGTCCAATGAATGACTTGAACACGAGCTAGGTCAATACAAGGAAAATGAGACCAAGATTCAAAGTTGGAGTCCAAACCACCACCAATCCTTAGATATCAAACATAAGCACAACAAAAGACCCCAAAGATCCATAAAGTTTCCAACTTTATGGATTCCATGCATTCTACTCAACCCATACATGGGGAAAAGAGGGTAAAACTTACATCTAGCATGATTAAATGAGAAAGGCAGAAACTTGAGGACTTACCAAGGTCTAGGATCAACCCATACATGATTAAATGGCCCCCCACCCTCCATTGGGCCTCTCTCGGTATCGAGTCCTACTCGGCTTCGAGCCCCGCCTGACTTCGAGCCCCGCTCGGTATACAAATCTGTTATTCTTAGGCCCCGCCTGACATCGGGCCCCACCCACTATACACATAGACATTTATCACATATTCATACTAACACATGTAATGATCATAAACAATAGCATACGATACAATCATCGGGACTCGCCCGGTATTCATAGCAGCACAGAACACATGCAAGGGTCATGCAGACTCCTAGCATCCTAACATAAACAATAAGGGCCGACATTGGTGCCTTAGACCCGCTAAACCCAGTGAGGAAACTTACCTCGACTACTGAATCTCACTGAAAATCCCTGGCTGCTGGTCTGACGAATCCCCGAGCTATCTATACAAAATAACACCAAATTAACATTTGGGTTCCAAACTATATCCATCAATCCATACTTGAGATAAAATGACCATTTTACCCCTGACCTAGTTTGGACCAAGACTAAGGCCCAAACTCACAATCAAAAAGACCCAAAACCAAATAATCCTCCAAGGCCCACTTACGGCCCAATTTTCCAAATTGGGCCCAAACCCCTACATGGGCCTTACCCTAAAGCCCAACCAATTTTCCCTAGTCCAAAATACTTGTTCTCAGTTGGCCCAACAAGGACCCAAGCACCTAAGCCCAAAAGAACGGCCCAACCTTGAAGCCCAAAATGCAAAACCCATCTGACTGAGTACGCGGGGCGTACTCAGTTGTACGCTAAGTGTACATGCTAAATGGCTTGTACGTTGTGCCTACAGACTTGTACGCCCATCATACTCACCCAATAAGCCAAAATCCACATTAAGCACTTAATGCTTAAGACCAGAAGCCCAAATCGTAGATCTAAGTCCTAATAAACGTCCAGAACCATAAAGTCACTGACTTGGTGACCTTGCATGCCCCATAAGGACCCAACTTCAATATATAACACTCTACTATCATAAAATGAACATAAACTCATGCATGGATGGATCTAAACCCTAATGGTGCCAGCTTTATGGACCTTGAACCTCAAAAACACCAAGAGTGGCGACTCAAAGCTCCTGGAGTGGTATCAAACCACTAGATCTCATTCATGGGGCCAAAAAGGACCAAAACTCATATATATTAGATCTAAGCCATCAATGATCAAGTTCATAGCTTTTTACCTCAAAAAAGCTGGAAATGAAGCAAATAATCGAGATCCACAAGCTCTTCCTTGATCCACCACCTTGCACCAAGATTCTACTTCTTGGATATGGACCAAAACACACCAAAATGGACACAATGAACTCAGAATACCACAATGGAGTCTAAGGGACGATTTCTAGGGTTTTGGAGGCTTAGGGGCTGGTAAAGAGGCCAACCCTAATGACTTAAGGTGTTTAAATGGGGTGCAACACCCTAAATTAGGGTTTCATCAACTTACACGTACGCCCCACATACGTGTCCGGAGTCCCGTCCCAACCTCGCATCAGTACGCTAAGCGTACCAAATGGTACACCCTGCGTACTCGCTTTACAGCTTGTACGCTAAGCGTACCAGTGGTACACCCTGCGTACTGCCCAAGGACCAAAATGCAAACTTTTTAATAACAAGGGAAAAATAAGAACTATACCAGGATTCAAGTGCTACACAGCTTCGGACCTTTATGTACTATTGGAGATGCTCAATGAATTTCTTCTTGATGTGTTCCGGAGATTCACTCTTGGCATCATTAATAATGAATTTTTGAAGAATCTTAGTTGGAACAAGATGTCTTTCGAGAACTCAGAAAAATTCTTTTTGATTTGTCTTTTTCTTCAGATAGACAAATCCGAGTTCAGGTTCTTCGATGGGGCCTTCGGCTAGGATCTATGCTTTAGGAAGCTCAGTGTTAATTTTTGCCAGTAGATTCTATGTTCTGAACAGGTGAGAAAATTCCACATCGAATCTACAATATTCATCGATGTAGTCTTTCAGGAAGCTGATAGCAGTATTGAATGCTCCAATGCTAGATTCATTTAACTATCGATCTTTGAGATGATAAGTAATGGTGAGAATGTCGTTTAGACTAATCGAAGGAAAATCCACATGAGTGATTGTAATGGTAGCTTCTTTGTTCTGAGACACAAAGTATTTGTAGAGAAGACAGTTGAGATCAAACTTGCTTAGAACCTTGTTTCCATATCCAAAAAGATTTGTAATTATTTTTCGAGACCACTCTTCCTTTTGAGGTCGTGCATTTGTAGAATAGAAGGTTCTCAATCTCTCACGTTCAGTTCAGATGATAATTTATGGATCATCGGATGGATGCAATGGTGCAAAATTGACATAAAAGTGTCCATGGGGAGAGATTGGTACGTGAAGTTGGTCTGAA